CTGAACAGAGAGCTCAAATACTGGACTGTCTGGTTCAAAACTGGACATCTGGCAACCCTATGCCCATTTAGGATATGGTGGGCAAAAAAAGTAAGAAGAAAATTTCCTGAGCCTGGAAGAGATCATGACTCTTGCTAAAAGTCCTCTAATTATGACTCTTGCTGCCTGCACGTGCTGGAGTAGAATAGCATTATCTACTGGACATCCTTTCTTTTATAACCCTTTGAACGTCAACATAGTCAAATCATATTGACCTCTACTCGCACTTAAAATTTTCCACTGCTTTAACTATACCACAAACTCTCCTCCTCCCCCATCCTTTGTGGAATGCAGTTATACTAGTACAGCTAATTGCCAATCAGCAACGCAGAATAAACTGTGCTGGTATAAAGCACCTTTTGCTGTTACAATTGCATCTGCAGTAGGGTTTTTCTGGCAATTATATTAGTGGGGGGTAAAATTGCACCCTGCGTTAACATAGTTCTACCAGTAAATCTCTTTAGGTGTAGACCAGGCCTTACCCTTATTCAGATGAGGTACAAACTGAAGAAGATTGTCTCTTTGCACTTTAACTCTGAGGTGTCAAGACTTCTTAATGTATCTTTGGTTGGGTTGGGAGTCTGGTTGTGACTGGTCCTGGTCAGAGAACAAACTAATGTGTAATGGTGCATTCCAGCTAAACCTTTAGGCTCTTCTTTGATTAGCCTATTCAAGGGTTTCCCAACCTCTGGGTGGGGACCCAAATATGGGTCGCCAAACACTTCAAAAGGGTTGCCAAGTGTCTCCTCAGGTGGCTCTTAAGAAGCCATTCACCCTTTTTTTTTTTTTTAATTGCCCTGGGTCACCAAGTCTTCCTGAATTATCAAAATGGGTCCCCATCTGGAAAAGGTTGGGAACCGCTGGTCTATTCAGATGCTTGCTTTAAAGGTATGGGTGGTTTTCTCTGATCAGGTTATTCCAGTCTTTGGCTGGGTCATTTTTCAATGCCCCCTTTTCCTGCCTCCTAAAGTATTTTAAACCCTCATTTAAGGACAGTCTCTACTAAGATGAGACTATTTTAAATTGCAAATAATCTCTAAACTATTAGAAATAAAAGCCAAACATTGACCCCTGTTAGTGACTTCCTAACTCACCCCATGTAGGGTTCCTTCAAGGAACTCCATACACTTCCATCATTTTGGGAGGAGAGACCAGGGAAGAGGAAATTGGAAAAAGTTTCCTTTGACTCCAAGAAATGCCTATATTGTAATACACAGGAAGAAGAGAGGTCTTTTGCTCCCTCTCTCTGTGCATGTGTTCAGTGCAGGACTTCACTGGGGTCCAGGAGAATAGGGTATGATGTGATTAGAAGGAATCATGCACAGCTATGGAGATCAGTGGGGGCGGGTTGTCTCAACTGTCTGCAGAGGGGACAAGAATTTGAGCCTTTGTAACAGTCTCTCTTGGGTACAGAAGTCTGTGAATGCTACTCTGTTCTGGAAAGGATCTGTTCTCTCTTGGCTCATGTGTTTCAGCTAGCTTAACCCTTCCCTGGCACTTCTCAAACCTTAGGCCTAACTGTTGCTAGTTTGAGTCAACTGCTCCAAACTTCTCTTCATCAGCACTCTGTTCTGTTGCTGTTAACTTTACATCTCTCCCTTCCCACTGAGCGTTTCCTGGCATTACTTTGGCTGTCCTTGAAATCACTGGTTTTCGAGAATGAAAAATCTCAGCCCCTACTAACCTGACTTGCCAACTTTCTTATAACAGTGCCTGTTTTGTAACAGACACACCCCACAGAAAACGAACAATGTTAGGAGGGTAAGTGACTGACTGGGCTCCTTGGGTGTGTTCAAGGCTAACCGGTTATACTTCCCATTGCTTGCTTTCCCTAGGAAACTTTAAGGCCATGGTGGAGAGCCATCCGGCCCCCGGTGCCTGGATCCAGCCGCCCGAGGCTTCGGACTCCACCCTCACAGCTCTGGGGAGACCAGTGTTGTCTCACTGTGGGATGGAAGCACACAAAATCTATTAGCCTTGGTCCTCCTAGGCTCTGGTGTGCAAAGGAAATGTGAGGAGTTTCTTCCTCCTTCTCAGTTGAGAGGCCACGTCAGTGAGGGTTTGTTTTTTCTTTTTTGCTTCTCACTTGTGTGCGGCCCCCAACTGATTTTTCTGTGAGTCCAGGGCCCCCAACCCAAAAACAGTTTCCCACCTCTGTGTTAGGCAATAGCTAATGGGCTGGCTACCCAAGCATTTAGTATGTGGCAAGCTGGGGTGTAAATCTATTCTGCGTTAACCTCGCATGCTCTTGGTGTCCTTGTGGACCCTGCTGCTGCTGAGTTTCCTAGTGTGCACTGATCTGTTCCAATTTCAAAGCAGCATAGGTGAAAACACACCAAGGATGGACCCGTCCCCCCTGATCTAGCACCCTCAGGACCTGACCAATCCCGAACGAGAGAATTTGTTGGACCAAAGGAGGTCCAGCCTGTTGTCTGTTTTCATCTATGCTGCCCCTAAGCCCATCGCCTGCTGCCTCGCTCTCCCTCACCCCAGACTGGCTGGACTGCTTGCCCAGCTACTGCCAGCTCCCTAGGCAACACAGACTCTGGCCCCAGCTGCCTGCTCCAGCGGATAGCTGTGGGGCTGCTGCAGAGCTCTGTTCCCAGCCAGCTACTGAACTTGTTGCCCAGGCCCTGGCTGGCCCTCCTGCCCTCAGGCTCCCAGGCTCTCTGGTCCAGGAGCATCTGCGATCCTGCCAGACGACAGACATTGCTGGATCAGAGAGTGCTGGCTTCTTGGAGGTATAACCTGGTACTGAACTTTCAGGGCATGGCAAAAGGGTCTAGACAGACAATTAGTGTCACGTGCCAGCTTGCTGCAAACCGTGTTTGTGTAGATAGCCCCTAATTCTCTTAAATCTACTTTCTAATCCCTTGTTTTGGAGACAAAATGACTGTTCCAGATCTTAATCTGTGAATAGCCAGGCTGGCTGGATCCTTGGGTACCACAAACTTGTTTTTGTTTGCAGATCACCATTTTTGGTCCACTTTTGGGTGCAGAACTTCAGATTAGGATACATCAATGTTCCTGTTACTGCTTTTTGTATTTTCTACCCTTCTCCAATGTGTCCATATATCCCCTTTGCTTAGCTTCTATTGTATGGTGGGAAGACTTGGATTGATGAGTGCAGCAGACATATGAAGAGTGGATTATTTTTGTTGTTGTTGTTTAACCACAGTGCACAAACAGTGAATATTACCAGGCGTTAAATTTCTAGTGAACTGGTTTCCAAACCTTTTTAAGCATAAGATAACTTTCCGAATTTAAGTGCAATCCAGAATCTACCTCAAACCCAAACATCCTTGCCCCATCTCCTTCCTGCTCCTTCTCCGAGGCCCTGCTCACTCCATCCTCCCTCCCCCATCCTCACTCACTTTTATCAGGCAGGGGGTAGAGGGTTAGGGTGTGGGAGAGGAGGATACAGACCCTGATCTTGGGCTAAAGGAGTTGGAGTGTGGTTCTGTGCTGAGCCTGGGGCAGGGAACCCTATGCAGGAGGGGGTTCAGGGTGCAGGCTCTGGGAGGGAGTTTGGGTGCAGGTGGGACCAGGGCCGGCCCGAGCCATTTTAGCACCCCGGGCGCATGGCCCCATCTCCGGGCGCACAGCACATGTGTGGGCCCGCCCCCAGGGCACATGGGTGGACGCATGGTGCATGCAGTGCCCAGTCAGCCCGGCCACCGCCGATGGCGCGCAGCCTGGGCAGGGCTGCGCCTGGCTGTGCAGGGCCTTGCGGCAACGGGGGGAAGGGCGCTGTTGGCCGGTGCTGCAGGGCTTAACATGGCCCCCGCCCCAGGCGGCTGCTGCAGCCCGCCAGGAGTCCCCCGTAGGTTGGCGCCCTGTGCAGCTGCCCAGCTAGCCCACCCCTTAATCCAGCCGTGGGTGGGACTCAGGGCTAGGGCAGGGGATTAAGGTGCAGGAGGGGTTCAGGACTGGGGCTGGGGTTTGGAATGCAGGCTCTAGCTGGGCACCACTTACCAGTTGGCTTCTGGGTGGGGTGCAGTGGGGCTAAGACAGGCTCACCCTTGCTCTGGGCTTGCACCACTCCCAAAAGCAGCCAGCAAACTCTTTTCATCCCTGCCCCACATCTGCTCTGTAGAGATGGGGGAGAGTGAGGGAAAGGGCCCCCTGACATCAGCACCACCTCTTCCTCCTCCTGTGCACTGCACAGCAAGCAGGAGGCTCCAGAGGGGCGAGGGGCACTTCCAAGGCAGAGGGCAGGAGCAACATGACAGTGCTGGGAGGGACAGATGAATTGCTAGCACTTGATAGGTTTTGCCAAGAAGCTGTTAGGATCACCTGTCAAAGGTTCCAAGCTCTACCCGTAAATCCCGATCTGCTGGTTGGTGACCACTATTCTAGTGGGCCTTCATATAGGAAGCCAAGAAACTGTCTACATAGCATTGTCTTAAACACATTACAAGGTCGTCTTTATTAGGTACGCTGCAGTATTCAACCTGATTACAATAGTTCCTCTGTAAAACTGTGTGGGGTTCAGGGATAAGTGGAAATATACAGAACAGCAAGTTGACACAGTCCAATACATAACATGTCTTCAGTATGAAACAAGAAGGACATTCAGCTTGATCTGTAAATTACGATGTGGTAAAAGTTGTGAAATGTCCTACTAAATATGTACAAAACTGGAGACTAATGCAGGACTGACTTGGAATGTAAATTTGTCAAAGTGAAAATAAGTTAGTTTTGGAAATTAAATGAGGGATAGCTGTGTTAGTCTGTAATTTTAAAAACAAGTAGTCCTGTAGCATCTTAAAGACTAACAAAACCCACTTCCTCAGATGGGCTTATCTGAGGAAGTGGGTTTTGGTCACAAAAGTTTGAGATATACAAAGTCTCTAAGGTACTCATTGTTTCTAAAAAATGTAAAATTATCATCCACACCTACATTTGTAACAGCACAATGCTTATTTATTTCTGAACATTTCTCTTTTTACTCTGTATAGCTTGCAGGAACTGCAGTCCTCGCCATTGGACTATGGCTTCGGTTTGATACACAGACAAAAAGTATCTTTGACATGGAATCCAACAATTCAAACTTCTATACTGGTAAGTGGTGAAGTAAAATATTTGAGTGCTATAAATTCTCTTTGTACCTAGAAGGTTCTCTCTTCCTTAACTTTCACAAAGACTTGCCAACGTGCAATATTCATTTGTTTGAGATTTTAAGATATATTCATGTAAATATGGTGAATATGGAATAAACACACTTTTTTCAGGGAACCACCTACCTATGTGCTTTGTACTGAGGGGATTCCTACATGTACACAGCATGTGGTGGAGATCTAAAATATCCGATAGAAGAGGAGCCCTAATAGATCAATTTTGCCTCTTTGTTTGTCCTTAGTGATTAGGCACAGAAGATGCTCCAGAACCAGAAAGTCTCAGCAAGGAGCATGCATATTGGGCCTCACTGTAGCAATAATATGTTTGATAGCCTTGGCACACATTTACATGAGGCAGCCTTCATAGAACCTGACGTACTTGTTCATAAGCTCACAGATTCATTGCATCCTGTTGTTACAAACTGGTTTGAAGGGAGCTGAAGGACCATTTTGCTGCTGCTAGTAGGAAAAATCCCCAATTCCTCTACTCACATTTCTGTTAACTGTGGATTCACAAAGGGGATGGGGAGAAGAACTAGAGCTGGTTAAAGTATTCAATCCTTCTGAACTGTTCTGAGACTTCTTATCTGTCAGTTGCAATGTTAACCTTTTGGATTGTTTGGGGGCAAACAAAATACGTGGGTTTTAATACCACTAAATGTAAGTGCGTACTGGGAATGTGAATAGGTAACCGATTGCCAGGAGGACTGCTCCAGTGTGGGAGGGGGCTGGGAGTTGGCCTTGCCAGCAAGCTCCAGTTCCCATGCAGTGGCTGGCAGCGTGGGCCCCGCACATTGGGACTGCTTCAGCCAGCCTGGAGTGTTCCCCAGCTCAGGATTCCACTTAATCGGTTAACCAGTTAAACGTTAGGCTCACCTAACATTTAATAGGTTAACTGATTAATTGGGATTTTTACATCCCTCACATATACTTCGTAAAAAGGTTCTCCACACCTGTTCTGTGTCAGGTGCCACTGACTCCCACAAAAAGCCATTGAGAGACAACACAAGCAAATCGCGCACCACCCCTACCCCCCAACACTTGCCTGTTCCAGGGTGGTGCTAAGGCTCAGGGCTGCTGGCCCATGGCATGGAGACTTGCCACAGGTTAGATCAAATTAAGCTGGGAGCCAGATCCAGCCCACGAAATGCATAGAAAGGGGAAGCTCATGTAGGAATAAAGAGATTATTTTACCTCTGTAGTTGACACTGCTCTGACTGCTGCTAAAATACTGCATCCAATTCAGGTGCCCACCAAAACAATGTTTGTAAATTAGGGCAGATTCCGAGAAGAATCATAGGAATGATTAAAGGATTAGAAAACATGCCTTCTAGTTATGGTCCCTTATTTTTAGTAAGTCACAAGCAAGTCATAAGCAATTTAAAAAAAAATTCATAGACACCTGTGACCTGTCTGTGACTCTTGCTAAAAACAGAGGAAGGAAGTTGACAGGATGACTGAACGAGGTGATGGTGGGCAGGAGAGGAGATAAGAGCTTAAGCCTGGTGGGAGGGAAAGGGAAGCCAGCATTTGCCATCCCATGGGAATTTAGCAATCTGGGGCCCTTTTATGGGAGTCAATACACACAAAATTGTGGAGGTTCCTGGAAGTCATGGAATCTGATGCTTCCATGACATTATCTTATCCTTGCTTGTAGAGCAAGACTCAAAAGAGCTTAATCTGTATAGTTTATCAAAAAGAAGGGTAAGGGATGGCTTGATTTACAACCTATATGTACCTACCAGGGATAGGGATGTGAACAACTAGTCGACAGGGTAGTTAGCTAGTTGCTTCCCACCCCCCTTGCTGCCTCTATCAGAGGCAGCAAGGGTTGGCAGGGAGAAGAGGCAGTGCCGCTTTGAAATTTTGCATGCAGCTGGGGACTTCCTGATTACCCTGGACTGCATGAGATACTGCCGCTTTGAAATATTGCGTGGAGCCCGACATGGTGCAGCAGACATATAACATGATCCAATGCTGGAAATACAAGCTCGGCAATTCAGACTGGAAATAAGGTGTAATTGTTTCACAATGAGGGTAATCAACCTTTGAATAATTTACCAAGGGTCATGATGGACTCTCCATCACCAATTTTGAAATCCAGATATGTGGGGTTTTTGTTTTGTTTTTTGTTTTTAACATATCCCAGGGATTGTTTTGAAGAAGTTATGGCTTGGCTCTATCAGTGTTTACAGTACCTGTTTTCAAACCAACTCTAAATATTTCATTTGTTTTGGGATGCCATCTCCATTTCTAGGTCTGAAATATGCCCCCCCCCATAGCGCACAATTTTTTATATCTTTTATAAACTTTTGTATATGTATAAGGCATAGATTTCCCTAGCTCTGTCTACCCCTTATTAATGGCAAGTATGCTGTAGTTCATCAACTACAGTACTTACACAGTACTACCTGAAAATGATCAGTATATCAGGTCCTGGGAGTAAGAAGTCTTTACTGGAGGGTCCCCTACTCTGGAACAGGGATAATCTCCTTCCTTTCAAGTAGCCATTTCCTAAGTCAGACAGCATCATACTTGGTTTACTCAGTCACCTGATTCTCATTGTGCGTGGGTGTCTGAAACTTTTTTTCTCTTCTCTTTAAAAGGCAGAGGAGGCTGAATTTGCTGTGGTTGGAAAGAATGCCAATTCAGCTAGTTAAATTGTCGTTGTTGTTCTGCTCATGTGTCTAGAGGATTTCAGAAGGCAATCGTTCATATAAAAAAGGAAAAACAACTCTTAAGCTCTATACCAGACAGATATGGCTCCTTTTTCCTTCCACCCACATTCTTGTGGAGCCAGTAAACCAGTGGTTCCCAAACTTTTCAGCATCAGGCCCCCTTTTTGATTTTTGAGGAAACCCTCATGTTCCCCTCCCCCCGCCTCCAAAATAGCAGCAAAACTTGTTGAGAAAAAACAAAAAAAGATTGCCCTTTTGAGAGCAGAGCAGGCATTGCTCCCTTTTAAGGTGGCCATTTTGAAGTCTGCCCCAGCCAGTCTGAGTTGCGTGTGGTCCAGCAGACACCCAAGTGGACAGATGGACCGGGCTTTTTCTTGGG